CCCCTTTTTTATAATGCTGCTTACATAATTAGCTGTTCACACTTAAATTCCTTCTACTTTTTATTCAGTATTGTATGCTTATACAGAGGTCCCATAGTCATTCCCTTAACCAATCCAATTCTGCTTTTGTACTGCTCTCCATAGTGCATTTTCAGGCTAAAATATATAAATGCTATCCTGAACAAATATTAATAGTGGTTCCATAAAGTATCTTTACCTGCATGCTTCTATTACAATACAAAAGCTTGTTTATAAGTATGTATCAAAAAAGAGGCTTTATAAACATACTTTGAGGGCTGCTTTGTAGTATTGTTAAGTCACAATTGCAGACTGATTGATAGACTCTCAACTCTCTTGTTATGCAAGCATCATACAATATCACACTACAAAAGGGATGCATTAAAGGTAGCCCATTTATGCTTCCTTCTATGGGCTGAAAAAGTCAAGTGAAATGTAATGCATAGTAAAGCAATCATGAGGTTAGGCGGGACAACGTATTTTAAAAAATGATCACAATTTCTTTATTGTTATTTACATCTAAGCCAGTTTCTTTGGTAGACTCAGCTGAAGTATAAAACCTACATCTGCAATAGGATTACCATCTGCATTCACACAATGCATGTTCCTGTGCTCTTCTGTCAGAGCCTGTGATTAGATTGAAAATTGCTGGTGGATCTTTCTGTTTTTTTTAACACTTGCCAGAAATCTGACTCTGCCCCTCCTGGTAAAGGTTAATCAAAAATAGAAGATGAGGTGTAAGGTTTAATAATGTAGTCACTCTCACAAGTGACCCCATGTGGGCCCAGGAAGTGGTCAGTGTTTTAGATACCAGGACATTCCAATTACAACTCACTCAGGCGTTTCAGTTCCAGTCTTGCGAAAATTAAACTTTAAAGGTCCACTGACAGTAGATCTAGTAGATGAGTTAATATTGTGCAAGAATGCGAGACACATCCACTCCTTTCACTGGGCTTAAAGTAACATATATACAAATATACAAACTTCAATGCTTAAGTCAGTGATGCACACAAGTTATAGATACTATGTTTATATGTATGCTTAAAACAAAATATAATCCAATGCATTTTAATTCATCTGTATCGTCACTGTTTAGTGAAATGTATTCTTCTTGTGAAAACATTCTGGAGTGAACGTGACAATTCTAAAATTTAAATATATTTGAAACAGCAGAAACAACAACAGAAAAGGCTGAAGGAAATGTTGATTAAAATAAATGGTCGTGCAATATTCCTAAATGCCACAGTTATAAATGTAGGCTGAGGGTTTTTTTTTAAACTTCCAACATTTAGTTAACATCATTTAGTGGTTAAATACTGTTAAAATTGGTACTCTAATTGTCTGTTGTCAACATGCCATGGATAATTATGAAATGTTCACACTGAATCCATGCTAATTGTTTTTCACAGGTCTCCTTCCCGCGTCCTTGCCAAGGCAGGCCACAACAGACTCATACGTACATCTCTGTCACGTATCTTGTCATTGAACATACATCATCCCAGTCAGCTCATCCCAGATTCATTTTGCTGGCTGGCAGCAATTACCTCTCCGTCTGTGCCTGACCTCTTTGCAACATGAATATACACAGGGTATGGTCTTGTTTTGTTGTATTGTTTGGTAGACTTTGGTTTGTTGGATCTTATTTCTTCATTTGAGGAAGTACAATTGTGTTACGGGAATACTGGAAGGTTTGAAGCTGTATTCCAACGCATATCATCCCTGTGTTAAGTCAAGATACTTAAGACACGAGACACTTAATTATAATGTGGCTTGAATATTTAAAATACATGGTTTCTGTGTGTGTATTAATAGATCCTCACAAATGCTTAATCTAAAAAGATAAAAAAGGATGTTATTTGTTACTATTCAATCTAGAAACCCCATTACAATATAACAGTAATCTTACTGAAAGGTATCAAACACCTTTGTTTCTTTATCAAGGCTGTTATTAAAGTATTGAACTTAGTTACTCAATTTGTTAACCTGCACTCTGATCTTCTAAATGCATTATTTTTGGCATAATAAAATAAAAAGTATAAACTGTAATTTATGTTTGAATACAATCTGTGGTATACAATATTATTACAATACATAAGGCTGTTCAATTTGCCGAAAATATGATTTTTAAATATATAATACATACACAGGACTTCATTCTATTAACAAACAACAATCACTGTCTTACGGAAGCAATGTTTGTCAATGATCCTACCTACTACACGCTTAAATAAAATTATACTTCAGGGCTGCTTAAACTAAAAAAATAAACCTGGTTTATTGGACCTGTAAAATGACTTAAAAGGTTACAGGTCCAGCATGCCACATTCTAAACATGCATCTGAATATGTGGTATTTGAATTTTGTTGAATTCCCCTGAGAATATAAGGCAAGCACTGTTACTTATACTGATAATAGTTGCGGGAAATCTTAAAATCTAATATTTGCCATCATAACACCAGCACATACATAATCATTAGTGCAAATTTAATTAGTCAAAAGTAATTTACATGCTAATAAACCCTGCATGCAATAAGTGTGTTTATAAAATGGTACTGGAAAATTAAAATTTATGATTGGTTAAACTGCATCAGATGTCTACGAGTGTAAAAAACAGATATTCCATTGGTTTACATACTAATGGACTGCGTTGCACAGTCTATTGGAAATCCCAAAACACCACAATGTTTTGGATTTCCCGCACCAGATGCAATTCATCAGTGTCAAAATAATCCCACAAATTAGATCTGGCAGGTTATGAGCAGTCTAGCATAGATACAGTACAGCTGGATACACAAAACAAATTTAAACTGTATTAATTATTTTGTTTCCATAAATGTTAATTAATTTTATAAGAAACATGAACCACTTCAAGCAACTTCCTGGGTATATGGACTATTTCATGCTCATCAAGGGAACATGGATCCAAAACCACAAATGGGAATTTCACATCTTAAAATTTTAGGAGAGAAAATGGGAGGTTTTGTTTATGAAGAACGATCCGTGTTGTTGAAGCCAGTTCTTTCGGATCCCTCTACATAGCCAACCACATTACACAGTGGCGATATTAGAAAAAACTTGCAGTTAATACAGAAATATTGTTGAAATGAAAACTTTTAGATTCTATTCTAGTCCATTGGGTAGCCAGTAGCTTATTGATACAAGGAGGTCATTTAGATGTTACTTGTAAAAACACAGGATATCGGCTTAATTATATGGCTGAGTAGCTTGTTCCAGATTCCCAAATCCTTTAGGTAGAAAGGTGCCTCCTGTTCTCAGTTTTGAATGCACTCTGACATAGTTACACTCCGGCTCTATGGTTCACTGTCAAATATTCTTTACAATGTTGTCAAGACCAAAATGTAACCGTACCAGAATACTGCTGCAATGTTCTCCTGTCAATATAGGATTTTGAACAAAGAAGACTATGGGTGGATCTGACGTAAGTGCACAAAATCTTCAAAGACATTAACAAAGTCAACCCAGTCGATGTTTTCAGAATAAAATGTGAAACATGAACTAGAGGGCACAAATGGAAACTACATGGAAGTGCATTTAAACATGAGAACAGGAGACACGTCTTTACCAAAGGGGAGTATGGAACAAGCTATCCAGCCATATTGATCAATTATCTAGTAACTACCACGGGCTAGATGGGACGAATAGCTTCCTCTCAATTGTAGCCTTTCTTTTGTTCTTATGTTCTAACATATACACTAAATGATTGTTTTAAGTTTTTGCAATATCACACTTAAACAAACTGTACCCTTCCAGCAACCCCACAAAACCTTTAGATATATACATAATATAACCAAATCTAATATGTGATATAACCAAACCACAACCACACAGCAATATATGGAAATGGTGTTATAATATTTTGTGTTAGATGGATATATCTGAAACACTTAGGTACTTAAATTCTCATTTTATCCTACAGGGATTTAATAATCCAAGTGTCCTGAATTTAAGGCCCACTGTGTTTTCATCTCAACTAATTGAAATGCATTTATGGGATTTTTTAAGTTAATTCCTGTTTTAATTATAACACTAGATGCAGTGGCTCCAAAATACATGCTGTTTCATGGTTTTCTATCTTAGTCTCTTTCATCTTTAAAGTAGCTACACTAAGCTTATGTAAAAATAATGTTTTTGTTCCTACTGTATGTGGGAATAAAAGCTGCACTTTGTGGTTCAATCATCAAAGTGGCTGCATAGCAAACCACTATGATATATATATACACTCAGAATCTAGTGCAATTCAGTATGAATTTAATATAAAAACTACTAACTCAGTTTCCCAGGTATGGGAAAATCAAGAATCTGAATATCTTACCTGCACTAGAATACTAAAAACACACAAGGCCACTACACTCTAACAGAACAAGGCATTTAAGATTATTTAAAGAACTATAAGGATTGCAAAATATATTGTACACAGACAGCACACTGTATATATAAGGATGGTTCAGTTAGACTCTGCTTCAGCAATTCAGCAATGCATTTGGTCAGAAAAAGGTATTTTTATCTAAAGCAATGGTGGGCTAAAATGCACAAGATACACAACATACAAGTAACAGTGGAAAAACCTTCCAACATCCAAAGTGAATCTAGCTTCCTGAGTGTATACGCTATTGGCTCCATTATCAGATAACTCTTACGTTTACTGTAAATAACATTTTACATTTCATGTGTTTAGCTGTCCATGAAACATTAATGCTGATGGAACAAGTAGAGGTTAATTCCATGATGAAAAGTAAAAAGATGTGCTAAAAAGTAAAAGGATTGATATAGTTGCTGGTCTCATATTTTATCCCCTACACACCCAAACATGTCTCCATGGCCAAAGTTTTTCTTTTCCATCTTGATACTTTTCAACGCGAAATTATCCGCTACATGTTCCCTTGCTGCTCACACATTCCCGCAGCTCTGTGATATGAACTTCAAAATGCCTCTGAGTGGAACAAAATTCCAAATCATCTTACCTGCTTGGCCAGTGGCAATGCTGACGGCCGCAAAGAGTCTCTGGGTGTGACTGAGGTCTGAGACTCCATTCACAGCCTCAACTTCAAATGTGTAGTTGGCATGCGCCAGCAAGTCCATGATGGTGACATAGGTATCGACTAATCCAGACTGCTGGGGTACAAATCCAACATTACTGCCACAGGGCACGCACTCCTCCTGCTCCCAGCTGCAGCGCCGGCACATAATCCTGTAGGTGACATCATTCCGACCTCCGCTGTCTGCAGGAGGACTCCACTCCAGGCTCACAGTGGTCTGGTTGATGTTGTAAATCAAGTTCTGTGGTGCTGATGGGGGTCCTTGTGCAAGTGAAAAAAAAAAAGAGTAAATGCATCAAGAACACGTATGTTTCAGAACAGTTGCAGAGTTGTGCTTATGCCAAAATGCCAAATATTTTATTCCAATGCACTGCGTAATTCTTTTGCTGTCATTTATTGCTGGCTGATGATGTTTGACCTCCGTCTAATTTAACTTAAGAGCAGTTTATAAAATGATGATCAATGACAGTAAAGTTATAGTCTATATACTGTACATGGGCTAATTATGTCAAATTCTAGTATTTTCTAAATAAAAGAGTGATTTTATGAACACTTAAGTTTCTTAAAATATGCATAGATCTCTTGCTTTCCAGGCTTTCGGTATAGAGAGGCTGCTTGCAGCAATAAGTTACATAGAAAAATCCTCTACTAATAATTTTAACTCTGTGCTCTTATACTCATTATACACAAAAGAGATAAGCACCTAAATGTTTTGAATATCGGTCTTATATGTCTAAGTACCATAATGACAAAGTATGTATGTTATTCTCACAGTATGTAAACATGAAACGTAAGGAAGATGACACAATTCAGAAAGCCATGATTTTCAGATATAATTTTTTCTGGATTTACACAAAACACTGAAACCTTTTTACAGCAGGAAGACTTAGATCTAAGGTTAAATTTATTGGATGACCCAGACAGTTAAACAGTGCACTTTAGTGCCCGTTTCACATCCTGTTTTGAGATATTACTGTTTCTTTCTGTCCAACTTTTAATTTCGTCATCTGGAAATTTTTAAATAGCTACAAAAAGGTTTATTTTTGCTAAATCTCTAAGAATGTGGTTCGCCATCATGAGTCAGAGGAATGAAAGTGACCATTAGAAATTATGCACTTTGTTATTTTAATTTAGCTTGTGGTGTAAGTGATCAAAAAACATCAATGCTTACGTATATGGTATAAAGTGACCACAATAATTTGTAAAAGATATATCCAATGCCAAGCAGTTACTTGCAAATGCAGCAGAACTTCAGAAAGCATTTTTAACTCAAAATCCACAAAACATTTTCACACAAAAAGCACTCACAGCGTAATTTATTGACATCTTATGTATCTTAGTTCCATAAAGTTTGTGGTTAAAAGAGTGTAGCCATTTGTAATAATAAATATTTATTCCTTATCTCTCTTTCCTAGCGTTAGTCCCGCATCAGCAGGGTCCGCTTGTCGGC